GGTGGATGCCCCATCCCTGGAAACATTCAAGGTCAGGTTGGACGGGGCTCTGAGCAACCTGACGTAGTTGAAGATGTCCCTGCTCACGGCAGGGGGATTGGACTAGATGACCTTTAGAGGTCCTTTCCAACCCAAACAATCTATGATTCCATGATAACCTGGAGTGAAAAGTAGTTTGTTAGCTGTAGTCAGTGGCAGGAAAGCCTGGAGCTTATCAACTATAGCCTTATTAGCAGGTGTCACTGAGGTGAGAATTAATACAGAAGCTGTCAGAAAACTATGAGTTCTAGCTTGGACAAACAAAATCTTAAACAAAAAGATAAATTATTTACTCGAAGAAAAAGAGAGGTGGGAGGAAAAGAAGAAAACCAAACCAAAGACGTTTCCAAGTTGATCGATTGTAAACCTATAGATCTTTTGAATATACAGTCATAGTAAAGCTGCTACTTATGAACCAGGAGAACAAGTATAAAGTTCATATGTTCAATTAAAAAAAAACCCCAAAACAGAATTAAAAGATTTTTCAGTGCAAACAAACATGCCTAGGCAAAAATCCCACTTATGTTTGGATTCTGTATTAATCAATTGCAAAAATGTCTTTGATCGGACAACTTAAAATAATAACTATACAGAACTGAATCTAAGCATTTCAATCTTTATAGCATTAGATGTCTTTGTCTACAGTCTTTGTGACAGAAAATCCAAGAAAAACAAGTTGGTATCAGAATGAAAGTGTAGTGGCCAATGAAATACTGCTTTATCAGTCTCTTGCAACATGTAAAAGGTCCTGAATTAAACAGGTTTTTCAAAGAGCTCTAGTGCAAATCTCCATACATAAAGAAAGGGAGGGAGGGAGAACCAGCTCAGTTACTGTAGATTACAATATAGTACTATTAAAGAAACCAGACAAAATTCAAAGCTATAGACTATATGGGATCTGTTTGAATGCTTTAGAAAAATCTTAACAACAAAAATTGAGACTTTTCATCACAATTGATTCTTGACATGTGGGTTTCAAAAATCTCTTATTATACATCATTGTCAGCATGCCTGCATATTACCCTGTCCTATGGAAATACTTAAGAGTTGTTTCCAGTGTATAAAACTTCAGTAGTTTATAACCCTGTACACACTAGTAACACCAAAACTTATTTTTTTTTAGTCATATCTACAATTCAGAATAACATAATGTACCATCAGAATGACTCATGATTGCGTATTTGTAGTTTAATTATAAAAACATTGTCTCACAGTGGAGGGACTGAAGTAATTTATTTTAGTTAACATGCTTTCTGCATTTGTCATATTCTTCTCAACTTATTAAAGATGAGCATTTGAATATTTTTTTAAGAACACATACCAGATCACACTATCCTAGTCTGAATTAAAATATAGGCCTAAAGAGATGGAGTCATCCCTTGGAGAGTGGTTTTAGAGTGTGTTACATCAGTGTATGTAGAAGTGTAGTCACACTTAGCCATTTCATCAACTTGGGTTTTCAAAGAATGCCTCATCACACTTGCAGGATACAACTAATAGGAATTAAAAATAAATACATCTCCAATTCTTGGGTCAGGCCATACTGCGTCCCAGGTAGTTTGCAAATTAGATGCAGTAGACTCAGACTAAGCAATGTTTACTTCTCTCCAAGAGCTGAAAGAAGTCATAGTCTCTGACTCCTATTCATAACTTTCCACTGAGGTGTTCCCAGCTGTGATTAAAAATAAGCCAATATTAAGAAACTTTTTGATATTCCCAGAATCAATTTCAGATGCAGCATCTCATAGGTAAAGCAAAATAAACACAGACTGCGGTGGAGATTTTAAAAAATATTTTCCTGATGTAAACTTAAGCTTAGTTTTTGCAAGTCACACAGGTAGACCTGTTTTGTATCTATGTAAATGGTAAATCACACTTACTACTATTTTCTAAAAACAATTCAAATAGTTTTCTTTTTTAAGGAACATAGGAAGTATTTAATAATTATTTCCATATGAATTATTTGAATTTACAGTAATCTTACTCAAGCTCCTCCAACAAAAGTTTGTACTTGAACAGTTTTCCAAGTGTGGAGTTAGGGCTGCAATTCCACAAACACAGGCTGCATGAGACTTTTCCTTGTTCGGTTTATATCTCTCTTCCCTTCTGCCTGCTCCTGGGTTCAGCGGGGAGCTGGCTGCCCAGTCATGCTTCTGCAGTCACTGTGCTGAAAGCTCTAACTTCATCTCTTCATCTCTGGTCTTTGGGATCTACTAACTTGTGCTTATCACTGCTAGCTGACAGTTCATTTTAAACAAGTGAGACATACAACTTTAAAACATACATTTTCTTCCAAATTTAAAGGATGAAAGTTTCTCAGCTCTCCTATGCAAAACTCAACAGAAAAAAAGTTTTGCCACTTAGTTTTTTTTGCTCAAAACTAGTTTTAACAAAATAGCTTGCTAAAACTGATGATTCTGGGTTTAAAGAATCTAGGTGTACAAATTGTTGACTTTGTTTAGAAGAAGTAACCACAAAATTATTTTCTTAATCTCTTCTATCAAGATAGTGATGCAAATCAGAACCAGCTATCTTAGCATGGATTTATTGCTGGAAAGGGCTGATTTTTACGCCAGCCAGATGACAGCACCCTACAGTTTAACTATTGTCCTATCCCATGTAATGGGGGAGCAGCTGTTCTGCACTTCTTTCCTTCAGTGTCACTAAAGGACATTCAGTACTTGGCTCTCTTCTGTATTCCAAAACCGAAATGTCTTGAAACATTAGACTGAAGTACCTGAATTAATTTAAGACTGTGTCAGAGACAGCAAAGGATTTCAAAGGTACGTGGATATTCTCCTGGCCTACTGATATTCTCAGATAACGATTTTTGCAACATTCAGCAAACAAGACTGCTTCTTCACAGTTACTAGCAGAGGAGCTCCTATATGTCCTTAAGCTGTGGTAACTAATACATTACCTTGGTGATCAGTTTGAGTACTTTCTAAGAGATAACAAGTGGGAGAATGTTGGCTGCAACTGAAGCTAAAGAAGAAACTTCAGCACACCAGAAAGCATTCAAGAACTATTGCAGTACAATTAAGCTGTGTCCAATAGTCTAGCATAGGCAACACCATATTTGCCAACCGTGCACCAATGAACGAACCCCACCTACACAGTGCTCTCCAGGCAGACTCAACCAAGTTTATTCAGGAGACAGATCATGTTCTTTTGAACTACTCTAGAGAGATGGTACTTGTAAGAAAAGATATGATATGCCGTAATCCCTCTGATTTTGAGATGTGTGACCCAGACACTGGATCTGAACCATATGCCAGCTGCTGACAGGTGGCAGTCATGTTAAGTGTAGCATATACAGAAGTCTGGTATTACAACAGCTCTGGCCTTTCCAGAACCGCTCTTTGGGAGAAACCGAAGTGGCAGTCAGTGAACTGAATCATTTTGAATCTCAGCAAGAGCAAGGAAGCACTATGCTTTTGCACTAGTGATGAAGCTCAGATCTCCAGGTACAAATGCGCTGCATGCATCAGTGACTTTTATACTAAGTAAATGAAAGTGCAAAGCTGCATTGCTTAATTCCACACTTGCTTATCAAACTGACACAGCTGTTGGCTGTTACCAGCTCACCTGCTGGCCATTCAACCTTCCTTGCACCCGTGACTCTACACAGCATGCCCTCTGGTGCCTCCGTCACTTCAGTGGAGAGCCTGGGACATTATCTTGCACTCACCTATGTCAGCAT